ACAGTTGGCTACTCTTTCAAACATACATGACTATTATTAACGTGTAGGCACAAATAACTGGTTTGGTAATAATGAATATTAATATGCATCTAAAGAAACATTTGAAAAGAATGATGGCATCTTATATTAATATTTTATTATCTATCTTTGTTTTTAGCTATGATAATTTTCAAAATCCCAAGAAGAGGAAAGGACAGAGTGCAGCAACATTCAGACCAGGACAAAAAGTGACTCTAGCATAAAGATTGTTGTTATTTGTGATCACTACACTAATTTAGAATATAAATGTCAGTCATATATTTACAGTCTTAGATCAGTTTAAAATTTATATTCATATAGATTTATTACTACAGTGACTGAGGATAGGCATCTTTTAAATTAACTTTTAAATGCTGTAAGATTATTTGACATCTTATTTTGCAAAATTATTTGTCTTCCTATAAATCAGTATTAAACTTTGAGACAACATTAGCAATGTTGTTTCCAGCTAACCAGCAAACCTCAAGTTGTTTATCAGTGTGCAAATATCAGGAGTTGGTTCCCCATATTTGCTCTGAGGAAGGATACAGATGTGTTGCTTTTTTACAACTACTTCCTGAATCTGAAAGGTAGAGGTTCTGTCTTCATGAGAAATATGGTATCTATACATCTTATTTTAATACATTGTAATAACTAAGGAAAACACTTTTCAGTAAAATATGTTGAACTGTTTAACAGCCTTGTAAATCTAAGGACATATTTTGAATGTGTATTAGTGTGTAAGTAGTGTCAGATTTTCTTGCAGATCAACTGTAGCTGGAAAGAATTTAAAACAAACTAAGATCTGAATTTATTTTTTAAGTTAAGAAAATAGATACATGGAACCAAATCAGAAGAGGCTCCTTAAATCATGAGCTTAGTCCTCCACTATTGCAGGAAACTAAAAATGGACACAATTTGGGGCCATTTCAAAAAGGGGTGTTTCAGAAGGGCAGGAGCTGTTAATGTTACATTTCTGGTGTTCCCAACTTGTCCACATGTAACAATTAGAATGTAACAGCTACTGTCCTTTGGAAACCCTTCCCTTTTGAAACTGTTTCAAATGTACGTGTGTCCACACTCTTACTTATACACTACTGTCAGAAAGTTATCAAACTTCATATTAAAACCAACTAGGCTACCCCCGTTGCTCCTCTTGAAAGGCTTTTCCAGAAGCTCATTTCTCCGATAGTTGGAAAACATCTTCTAATTTCCTGCCTGTTCACAGATATTTTATTCCCACTTGCTCTTACACCAATATTGTCCTTTTATTTAAACAGCTCTTCTCCCTTTCTGGCGTTTACTTTCCTGACATATTTATAGGGAGCAGTCACTTTCCCTCTAACCCAGTGCTCTCCTAGACTAAGTAGTCCAAGCTTTTTTAGTCTTATCTGATAAGCTAAGCTGTCCACTCCCCTCTTCAGCATACTAGTCTTTCTGTGCACCTGTTTCGTTCTAAATTAATCTTTCTTTTCTTGAACATAGTATCAGAACTGTATGCCATACAATGACTAGTTCTCCGCATAAAAACACTTGCCAAAAGAAGTTGTTATTAACAGTAGGTGGGATTCCCCACCAATCCTTAAGCAGGTAGAATTCAGAAAGGTACTCAAAGTATTTAAATTAAGCCTATCTATAGATTTCATTATTCAGGTGGATGATTCTAATGTACAGAGGGTGCATCTACATGTTCACTTTACTGCGGAGCTGGCTACTTAGCTCTGCAGTAAAGTGTCACTGTTTACATGTGAGTCCATATTAGGGCACAGTAAATTAATGAACTCTGCCATAGAATAGTATTGTCCAGGACAAGTACTACCCTACAGTGGAGTCATTTAGTGATCTGAAATGCATGTATAAACAGTGACCAGGGCTGGATGGGGCATGAGGGTGCTACAGTGCAGGGGCTACTTGCCAGCCAGCTGCACACTGAAGCACCCTTGTGCCCCAGCCAGTCCCTCTGCCGCCTAACACCAAGACCTGGGGATGACCCTCAAGCCCCCTGCCAACCTGGATCTGCTCTTCCCCAGCTCAGACAACTGCACCTGGGAACAGCTGACTCTGGTGCAAACTGTGCCGGAGTTTGAGCTGTGCTATTCACCATGTGTAGATGTGCGTAGAGAGTATAAAAGACTATTACCCAATCTGACAAGAATTAAACCTTAAATTCAGAGGTTTTTTTCTGAGTACTTATTACAGACTGTGGAAAAAAGGCTGACAGCAGATTTGCCAACTGTCTAAATTTATGGACAATCTGTGTTTAAAAAAAAAAAGAGAGAGAGAGAGAGAAAGAAGTAAAGTCTAAAAGCACCTGTCCATAAAGTCCTTAAAATGGAGCCATCCACAAAAATAAGCAACTGTGAGCTTGACTAAAACTCTGTCCTTGGAAAGAGGCCAAATGCAAAGCGTTGATGGACAAACACAGCAGAGCAGTACTACCTGGTGTCTGAGCAGGAGTACAACACCTTTCAGGAAGTTCTGTCAGGGCTTTATGGGCTACGGGAGCCTCTGTAGCCTCCTCCCCCCACCCCCCAGGTATGTGCTGCTGCTGCTACTGCTGTGTCCTATCACCTACCTATAATTGCTGTTCACCTTACAGACAGGAAGTGTTGCCTGGCCCCAGCAGTCTGAGACACTGAGTGGGACGGGGAGGGGGTAGTGCAGCCATGATGGAGCTGTGGGGCTGGGAGGCAGTGGGGGTAGGCATCAGGTAGGGGTGCACTCTGGGACAGGGGAATGAGGGCCAGCAGGGGTAAGGCTGGGGATCAGCACAGTGCAGGGTGCAGCTGGGGGAGATAGGGTGTAGAGGTGAGTAAAGGACCCTTAGGGTGGGGACAGCACAGTGTAGAAGCAATGCTGTAGTCAAGCAGTGTTGCCAGCCTAATTTTTTTTCTTTTTATTGTCAACTTTTTTACTGATAACCAAACTTTCTTTTGGTTGAGGTTAAGTCCCTGAATTTGAACTCAGTCCTCATTACTGCTATCCAGGACTTGGCAGAAGAGTTACATTTACATTATGTAAACTGTATGTCAATAAAAACATATGTCAGTAAGTAGTATCTTATGCCAGGGTAATTTACTGTGATTAAATGCACATGTAGACACTAACCACAGGGATAAATTGTACCTAGTCAGCCCAGTAAAACATGCCAGTAAATGTTTTGTTGTCATTAAAAACAAAAAGCACTCTTGTACTGGCAACTTTGCCTGACAGGATACCTTTTTATTTCATTACTCTGTCATCTGTCTTGTCAGCTATCACTGACCTTGCTCAATTGCCAGCCACACTCTCCTAGTGGTCCATGGGTATTAAAAAAAACCCCAAAACAGTAATAAGTAGATCACTTTCCATCTCTCATATACACACAACACTATATATTCGGGTATTTCTGCTTTGTAACCTAGTAGTACATCAAAATGCATCTGGCTTCAGGAGCTTGTAGAGCTGCCTGATAATGATGAATAGCTGGCAGATCTCATATTTTGGATGTGACCTACAATGCAAAATAAAGATGATCTAGTAGCACCACTTAGATCTAGCAGCAGGAGCAGCAATAATTTCCTAAAATCCTGGGTAGCAGAAAACATCATTAGAGTGTGCCCCAAAGCACGCAGAAAGAATTTGCAGAAAGAAACAATAAAGTATGTATAATTGGCCAATTCTGTTAGGTGTTGTGTCTGCATCTCCCATTAGCTTTAATGAAGTTATGGGTTTTAAACCATATGTGATTTGCATTTTATTTTGATCTACAAGGCTATTCTGCAGGAAACCATATACCTTGTTTGTTCAGAAAAGCAGTACTTCTTAGCCTTCATCCAGGATTTCACACCTAGTGTTTACGAAATTGCTTTTGGTTATTAAAGAAGACCTCTAAAGAAAAGAGATAAGGGAATCTTTTTTAACATTCAAATTAAGTCAAGAAGTAGATAAGCAAGCCATAGTCAGGCTTGAACAGTACACTGTTATTTCAGAATAAATGTCACATGTTAGAACTTGACATAACTATTTAAATATGGGTGTATAATGCAGTTCTCTCACAAGCTGTAGATTGCACAAACAGGATTTTTAAATACTTCAAGCCTCATTTCAGCCAAAAATAATCCAAGTTCTATACCACACCAGGCCTCATTTTTATCACCAAATACAAAATGGACATAAGGTGATTGTTTTTCTCCCTGAACCTGAATTGCTTTAAGTATCACAGCGGGACAAAATAATTATGATTGTGGATTTTTGTTTTCGATGCCATTTAATTAAAAATAATGGATGTAGAATGAAATGCATAAAAATGCTAACTTTTAGTCATGGTTTACTGTTTTTTATTTTAATTTTGTAGTCATTTTATTTTCCAAAGGCTTCTGTCAAAAATGGTATCAATCATACATAGGTTCTTAGCAATGCTAAAAGAGAACTATTCCTGTCAAACAAATATGTGGTAGCGTATCAATATACAAGAAAAAATACTAAAAAGTGTTTACAGGTTCTATAATTACACAAGAAGTATAAAAACAAAAGGATCCATTTCCCAGCCTGCTTACATAATGTCTGCTAAATTAGTACTGCACATGTATAGGATTGTAGGAGCAAAGCTTTCCAGAGAGTTACTATTTCAATCTTAAAATAAAAGCACCCTGAGAACTTAGAAAAGTGGAAAAAAGGAGACCCCTGTATAAATTAGATTGGGTTTGCAGTGTGATCCCTACAGGAACAAATTACTAGAATAACTAGTAAGTGACAACTAGGAACTCAATTCACCCTGCCAGTGTAGCATAAGTGTTAAGCTGTTGGTATAAGCTGGACTTAACTTTTTCATGTGAAGCCCAGCAAATAAGAATGTTTTCCCCTTCCTCAACTAGTGCTTGAATTTTCTGTGACATTTTAAGAAACCACTTTAGAAATGCCATACAACTGCAGTATCATATTAGCCACTATTAGATAACCACAGCAGGGTTTGGATCTCTCACACATTGTTGTGGTGTCCTTGACTGGCCTCAGAAATATGGAGTAGAAGAAATAGGTTGAATAACTTCAAGTCATCTAAGGTTTCGTGATCATCACAGAGTAAACATAGGACAGAAAAGTGCATTGGGACTATATTGTGGACAGAGAAAACCTGCTCTTTGCCCATCATTGCAAATGTTGAGGAACCTGCTCAGTCATGCAATTTAGATGTCTGTGCAACAAAAGAGTTACTTTGTTGTGACCTTCTAAAGTGGATCTTTGGCACAAGTTTTTACATGTTAAAATTACTTTAAAAACAATCAAGGGCACGTAGTACTGCCTACGTGAGAGAGATTCCCTTATTATTAGAAATCAGCAACAATGGGTGTGTAGCAGGGCACTGAGGTGCCTCCTACTTGTGGAGCAGTAAGTGAGCCCAGCTGTGGGTTGCCAGGGTAACTGGTGGGAGTCAGCTGACCAGAAGGGGCAGGGCCTGGCTCCCATATAACTCCCAGGCTGAAGCCAGGCAGGCAGTTGCCTGCCAGCAGCCATAGGGGTAGGAACTCTGCCGGAGTGAGAAAAACGAAGAGGCTAGAATGCACGGGCAGTTAGGGTGAGAGATGGAGAAACCCGGTGACAGACCTGAAGGTGATTATGGCAAGATGGCTTAGGTTTATGTTATAGCCAAAGGGCTTGAATTTGTGTTGACGGTCTATGACCAGAGGACCGGGTGAGGCTATAAGGGGATGGAGGAGGCCTCATAGGGGAGCCACGGCCAGGGGGCTGTGAGAAGCCCGAGAGGGGGCCGCAGAAAGCCAGAGCGCCTGTGGGGTGCAATTGCGAGACAAGGCTGCGGAGAGCCCAAGTGCCAGAGAGGGCGCAGAGAGCGTAATGGATCAAACAACATCCGGTACATCTGCGAAGCTTGGGGCATGGTACAGGGGTAGTTGGAGCCATGCACAGCCCATAAGGCTGGGGTGTTTGGAACCCCATTGTATAAACAAGGATCAGGGTAGCAGGAGCCATGGCCAGAAGGACAAGAGGCAACCTCCCTTTAACTTTCATAAGATCAAGACGTGGCAGGCGAGAACGAGGGTGCGTGAATGCAAACTTGGCACGGTAGGGGGCACTAAGGGAGAGCATGGCAACCCTAGGACGTTTCCCCCTGCCTGGTACATGGTGCATCTACACGTGCAATTAGTGTGGTTGAATAATCTCCAATGCAGTTTGTGCCAGAGTTTATTGTTCCCAGGCGCAGTGTTTATATGTGCACCCAGGACCACAGCACATTGAGCTGGGGCAGCACAGCCCTGGCTGATGGGGCCCAGGGAATCAGCCTACCAGCTCAGAGCTGTCCGCCCCAGCTCAACGTGCTGCAGAGGGGCTGGCTGGGGAATGAGGTTAGTACAGTGAGGGGGTAGCTGGCAGGTAGCCCCACATTGTAGCACTCTTGTGCCCCATCCAGCCCTGGTCACTGTCTACACATGCATTACAACTCACTAAATAACTCTGCCATAGGACAATATTTATGTCAGGCAGTACTATTCTACAGCAGAGTTGATTTGTTTACAGCAGCCTAATCACACCACATGTGTAGATGGTGACTGTTCTGGAGCTAATTAGTCAACTCCACAGTAAAGCACACATGTAGATGCCCCCAGTCTGTAAAAGAAATAAGCTAAAGTAAGGTTGGTCAACTATTTGGGCCTCATAAGGAGTTTTTGTGAACTGTTGAGGGCAGGGGGAGAGGGTGTGGTGACCTGGCCTCAGCTACCCATCATGGCTGTTGAGGGGCAAGAGGGGGTGGGG